CGATCGGGCTTCGAAATACAAAAACTCAAGTCCGAGTCCGAGTCCTTTAAAAAAATCTCCAGTCCGAGTCCAAGTCCGAGTCCGCCAAAAAATCTTCCAGTCCGGACTCGGACTCGCCCATGCCTGACAGTAAGGCGTCTAGTGACTATTCATTGCGTTAGCTATTTGTTGAATACATATAGAACATGGTCATAAAGTGAATCACACGATATGCGAACACTTTGCTTTAAAAATGTCAGTATGACTCATGTCAGATTAATTATCCGTTTTTTTAATGTGAGTGCGAGGCATACCGCGTTCTAGCGATCAACTGTGTTTTTACTTTCTAGACAACAAAACTGTCATTTTCTGTAACGATTTTCTCGTAAACTAGAATGGCTACTGTAGAATTTTAAACAGGAGCAGCGAGCTGTGAGGCCGAATTAATAAATATCCCCTTTTGAGACTTTGTGGCTAATCCAGTCATTAACTAGAAGGTTTGAAAGAAGGTGTTTTGTATGTTTGAGTCTTGTAGTTTTTTCAAAAAAAAACGGATAATTAATCTGACGTGAGTCATACTGACATTTTTAAAGGCAGAGTGTTCGCGTATCGTGTGATTCACTTTATGACCATGTTCTATATGTATTCACCGAATAGCTAACGCAATGACTAGTCACTAGACGCATTACTGTGTTATAGATAATAACGCAGTGTGTATGATAAAACCGAAATTCAGCTTGTTTCTTTTATTCACAGAGAGATACTGAGCCATTCTAGTTTATGAGAAAATCGTTACAAAAAATGACAGTTTTGTTGTCTAGAAAGTAAAAACACAGTTGATCACTAGCATTGGGTATGCTTCACACCGCATTGAATATTCGATGTAATCGTATTTTATTGCATGTGACTAATCCTATAGGTTTCAGCATATTCAATATGTAAGAATAATGAAATAAGCCCTTAGTGTGTTTTTAAAATTTTGAAATTACTATATTACATTTATTTGATGGGATATAATTTAAAAAATGGATTTATTGTATTGTTAAGTATATTCAAGCATTTTATTAACATACACCCTAGTCGTCAATTCTTATATATGAATTGGACAAGAATCTGGTAAGGATCTTGCCAGCTTCTTCTCTGCTTTTGCTAAGAATCTTATCCGATTCTTATACAAGAAGTAGCACGAAAGTTGTACGAATTTCGTTAGAATCAGATAAGAATCGAGTAAGAATTTCATAAGAAAGTGATAAGAATCCTTTATTAGATTCCTACAGGATTTTTGCAAGAATTATTCTCTATTCATTTCGTTCGAGTAAGATTTCATAGAAATAACTTTTTCTTCGTAGATTTTCGTTAAGCCAAACAATTTTAACAACGTAATTGCATGTCTAGAATCCACTATGATAAATTTAAAATTTCGGCGCACTAAATTATATTCCATCGTGATAGACATACTCAAAATACTATACACCACTTATAACAGGTCAAAGTTGAAAAAGATGTTGCAACAGAATATAAAGATGCGATGTTTATATGTAAATGTGTCCGTAGTATCTCAATAGAAGACCGCATCGATTATCATGAACAACTGACCAGATTCGAGCTCTGAATGGACAGTTTTTCTTAAAATCTGTTTTTGTTCATTGTTGTTTAAAAGCCAAGAAAATTGCTGAGGGAAGCATCGCGAGTGATCAGAAAAAATTTTGCTATAAGAATTCAATAAGAAACTAATAAGAACTCTTATAATTTTTTTACGAGATTCTTATGTGATTCTTACGAGACCGTTACTTTTTCTTTGCGACATATAGTTTTGGTCGCTATTCAGTTTATCGATTTAAATAAAAATTGGATTAATCAGATCAGCGATGTTAAACTCTTGTTATTATCATCTACAACATTTACCAAGTTCATTCTGTCTTTCATCTTTTCACGACAGCTGTAAATTGAAGAACAATATAGCTATAAACATACGAAAAACTTAATACAAAACTGAATCATCAAGCAAGGTTTACCATTGTAGGAAAATAATTGTGAAACAAATAAAATGGCAAATAAACGTACTATAAACGAATATATATTCTTTTCAAAACGGAATTACTTCCAAACGTGGGGTCTGGCGCTTTTTTTTTTTATTTCGTTCTTTGTAATATTTTCTTAGATGTATACAAAATATTATTTAACTATATATACAAAAACATACATTCATTCATTCATTCATTCTTTTCTTTATAACAAACTATAGTATACGGTCATAATGTCCATGTGTTACAAAAAAAAAAGAACAAAAAAAGTAAGAAACAAGCAGCTGCCTTTGAAGAAAAAATTTTTCGACACGAGAATTAGCGCGAAAAGTTCTCAAACAATTTTTTTTTAAATAGTTTCATTTTGTTATTTTATCTTTTTATATGTAGCTTCTGTTTGAATATGGGTGGAACTAATTTTCTATTTTTAATTATAAATTTATATATAATATATAATAATAAATAGAATCCTTATAAATAGTTTAATTTTTTTTTACACATAATCAAAACAAACTCTCTATGTATAATTCTGTCGATAATTTATCTTTTTCTTATTAGATATAAAATATATTATAAATAATTATATTTTTAAGAACAAAAGTATGTTTTCTTTTATCAATTATGTCTGAAAATTATCAACCTCAGCGTACGAGGAAGAAGGAACCTCAATCCGATTTGTTTAATGTAGATTGTGATATTAAAAATGATGAGAAAATGAATGCTCGAGACAACAAATCAAATGTGAATAAATCTCCAAAGAAGAAAATAGAACTAATGTGCGTAGTGTGTCTGGCTCCGGCAACCGGTTACAATTTTGATCAAATAACCTGCGAGTCTTGTAAAGCCTTTTTTAGACGAAATGCGTTGAAATCATCGGTATGTCATATTCATTTATTTTTTGTACGTATGTATAATGAGGGATCAGATGAAGATAACAATGAAAGCAAAAAGAAGATATATATTTCATTTTGTGCATTTTAGAAGATTTGATTGCTAAATGAGAAATTTATATCTTTAAAATTTTGAAAAGTTATCTTTTAGAAAAGCAAGATTTAGGGTGGAAACGGCTTAGTTCAGAAAAATCTCACATTTAATCGAAGAAAAACTATATTGTCTTATATCAACGACATTTATTTTCATTTTAGAATGTTATCAAATGTCGGTGTAATGGTGTTACGGATATTAATGTGCATAATAGAAAACGTTGTAAAGCATGCAGACTGGCAAAATGTTTCGCAAAGGGTAAATTCAACAACGTTCATCAAAACTTTGTCTGTTGTATAATATTTATCGCTGATATATACGAGGGCTTAAAAACTGTTGAATAGATTTTAGGCATGCGAAAAGAATGGATATTGACAGACGACGAAAAACGTACGAAAAAGCAAAAAATTGAGGAAAATCGACGGCTTCGACAATTACAGAATTGTCAAACTAAGACAGATGAAGAGGTAAACAACAAAATAAATATGAATCGACATAACTCTAACTGACTGTTTTCTTTATTCAGAAAAACATGAGACTATAAGATATTTATTTTATGTTCTTTACAAAAGCATAGATTCAATATTTTTTTTATTGTAGAATATTGATAACTCAGCTGAAGAAGAAGAGGAAAGTGTGCAAAATGCTCTCTCTGTACAATGTGATACGTGTCTAATTTCATCTCAAGATTGGATTACATTAGAAAAAATACAATGTGCTTATGCGCAATCGGTTAAACTAAATTCACTCGTTGGTTTGCCATTATATCCGTCGACAAGAAAATTATCGACGCCCGCTCAAATGGTAAATGAGCCGACGAACATTCATTCAACTAGACTAATTACGTACTTCAAACAACTTCCAGAATTTTGTGAATTAGAGGAAGATGACAAATTGACATTGATCAAACATAATTTACTCGGTTTAGTATTTATACGAGCTACGTTAATATATAAACCAGCAAATGATACCTATCAAGAATATGGTACAGATGATTGTATCTTCGACGGCAAAGATCTTATAGAATGTTATGGCGAGCAATTATATAAAAAGTCGACACAAATAATGTGTTCATTTATTGATATTGTAGAATGTGATCGTTTAGTTGTGAAAATTATTTTAATTATTATGTTATTTTCGAAAGGTTATTCTACGTGTACAATAGAATATCCTGAACCAGTATTAAAAAATTCTACACAAGTATTTCAATCACAAAATATCTATGTAGACTTATTATGGAGATATTGTGAAGAAAAATTTGGATTTTTCAATACCATCAAATTATTGGTACGTTTAATAACACTTTGTATGGCGGTGGAAAGCGTAGCTAAAGAAACGCAACAATATGTTCAAAGTAAACTGACAGCAGATGAATTAGCGCCGCTTATGCAATCTGTTATGCATTTGTCATGAACTATATTTAATTACCTTTTTCTGTACGAAAGAAGTGTGGTAAGAGTATGTATTTAAATATTTTTAGCGTTCATAAATTATACAATATATTAAATACTATAGGATAAAAATTATTTTCTATAATATTGTTATAATAGTTTGATCATGTGTTACAGCCAGAATTATTTGTGAATAAATCTTTATTGCCGAACCAAGAAAGAACATGAAAGATTTGCCTTAAATTATGATACCAATATGATATTCGAGAAACTTGAAACAGTTAGTAAAGCTACCGGTCGGAATGAAATCGTACAATTTATTAAAGAGAAAATATTCTCAGTGGCTATTTTGGCTCAAGTGAACAGATTACTTTTATCTTGATAAATCTTTATTTTTTGTCTTAGTGTTGTTATACAGTGATTAAGATATACTTTTGTCAAAACAAAATAAAAAAGAAACATTTTCTATATGTGAATAAATGTCTTAAATGCCCCCTCTAAACTTTTTAGGAACACTGTACATCTGTACCAATGGGATACACCGTCACCGATACCGTTTTCTCAATCAATGAGGCGTTTTTTCGGCAACGGAAAAGATTTTAGTGCGCCACTGATGCTATCGGCACTGGTTCGGTACTAGCTAAGAGTCGGTGCACACCGGCAGTGCTGTAGTGCATTTTTTGCAGGAATACTTCTTTATAATGGGTAGACCATAAAGAATGGGTTATTTTGTACCTTGCCTATATCATGGGCCCGTTTCATCCGTTCGAGTTCATTTTTTTAAAGAAGCGCTATAAAATTCTCTACAAGAATCTGTTTAATGTAAATGAAAAAATATAAAGTTAGAAAACGAGACGAACATTTCTTCGGGACGTCCGAATCATCAACTTCCTAATCTAAAAAACAGTTTTTTGGAGTTTTCTCATTCCCATGTCAACGTATTAAAAAAATAAATCGGAGATTTTTTGGTACTTGAAAAATTCACCTCAAAATCTTCTGCTTAAAACTGATTTTAAATTTTAGTATCGTTGAAAAACACCTCAAGTCTATGGGTTCTGTTGATAATATGATAAGAAAATCACATTTAAATCTAATTTCGTTTTTCTTGTAGAATTTTATTTTATTTTATAAATTTATTTACAACTGCTAAACGTTTCGAAGTCTAAACCGACTCCTTCTTCAGTAGTACAAATGATAAAATAAAATAAAATTCTACGAGAAAAGCGGAAGTAAATTTAAATGTGATTTCCTTATCATATTATCAACAGAATTAACACTACCTCGTATCAAATTTATATTACATATTCTTGTATTGTGGTCACAAAAGTGTAGAAGTGGATAACATGTCATTAACATTATAAAATTATGCTAGCCAGTAATAGCTAAATATCTGCTACGTATTTATCAGTTATCTATCAACACAGGTGTTTTTTCCAAAACATGGAAAACTGCTATTCTTCTCCCACTGCACAAGAAAGACGACGTATCTAAAATCAGTAACTACCGTCCAATTTCATTATTGTGTGTTCTCAGCAAGATTTTTGAGAAGATTGTACACAAACATCTTTTAATCTTGCTTCTGGATAACCATATTTTATGCTCTACTCAGTTTGGTTTCAGACCATCGAGTTCGACTACTGATGCTCTACTTTATGTAACAAAATCATTATACGATAACTTAAATGAGAGAATCACCTCGTTGGCTTAAGTTTTGATCTGTGCAAAGCCTTTGACCAGGTGATACATAGTACCAAGAGGGAAAAAGCACTTTTTATGGATAGCACTTTCTAGCATTTTTCAGCACTTAAAAATTCAAGATGGCGGATAAGGCTGTGTGTTCAAATTCCACCATTTCCTCTGTTTTTTTCATCCTTTTCCTTTAATAAAGTGGAAAAAGTTCTTGAACTTCAATAAAAAAACACATTGTTTATTCTTGTTGTCCAGATTCAATGACATGTTTCAGTCTATCACTGGATGAATGTGTTTTATTGTCTGTAGCAGCCAACACGCTGATTGGTCGAGTAAGTATTTCCATTTGTCGCCAATCTTGACATGAAAATAAGAACTTGATCGTTTTGGATTGATTTTGTCAAACACTCGGATACCAGAGAATATCGCTCTTTATGTTTGAGATAAATCTCTCGATAAAACATATTCATCGTCGTCTTCATTTGACAAATGATCTTCACTATAATGATCTTGATCATCTGTTTCATCGTCCCAGCAATTATCCACTAAATCTTCTTCGTCTTCATCTTCTGAACTGGAGTTTTCTATTTCAGAGCTACTCGCTCTGATATCGTCTATTGTTTTTGAATATCATTGATCATTGAATTTTTTGACTTTTAGAGAATATTCTGAGAACATCTACACTTGTTGCCTGAACGTCGTTTACTGTATCGAGAAGTTGAAATTGTAAAATTTTTCTAATATGTTCTCCACATTCTTGCTCCACAAACACATTAGAAATTGATCAAGTTTTAAACAAAAAATATCATCTGGCAAAGTGCCAGAAGTAGAACTTGATGTAGTCATAAAAGAAATTCTACAGGAGGAAGGGAACCCCAGAAGTCAAAAGAACGAGAACAGAAAAGGTAGATCAAGTATTTTCTGAAGAACAAAACTGAAATCGATTCTCTATTTTCAAAGACATTTCTCTTAAATTCACAAAAAAATCTTGTAAGCAAGATCTTGATAAGAAAATGTAAGAATTCAAGAAATTCTTGTAATTTTTTGACTTCTTATACAAAGTTCTTGAGAGATTGAACCTTATACCCAAGATCATGGAAAGAATGCATTCTTTGAGAAAGAAGACTTTTTAAATCTACACAAAATGCCTGAAGAAACAAAATTTATATTTAGGAATTTATATTCTCTCACTCATTGGAACTGCTGTGTACTTTGCAAATTAGTTAATTTTGACCTAAGTAGAAGAAATAAGTGTCTGATATACCAGATACTGCTTTTCGTCTCATTTAAAATGAGAAGAAAAGCTTTGTAACATCATCGCACACGTGGCTGCCATACAAGTCTATGTGTACTATATAAATTCTGTCACTTTTAAAAATGTTGGACAAGTAAATAGACTATATGCGTTTATATGAAGCATGTTTTGCTTCGTTAGAAATTTACATAGGGCAAAATACACGTGGGATACACGCCTAAAAGCTGCTTCTTCTGTTTTCTTTAACTCAGAAAGAAATGTTTTTTAGAGATACATGTGGTCCTGCTATGTACTGTACCTTATCATACTTTTATAAGATTTTTCTTCAAACGAAGAAACTTCATATGAACGCATATGATCTAACGGCCAAGGAAAAAAAGTGCTTCCTTTCGTGATTTTTAGACGTTTTTTTTCGGCAGTTTTTCTTTGTCTTACATACATTGCAAAAGACTTGTAATCAGTAATTATCCATTCAAAATAAAATTTGAGCTTGGTTTCGTCTAAATGCACTTAGACTGTATTAGGGACTTGCATCAAGTCCCTAATACAGTCTAAGTGCATTTAGACGAAA